CCAGAGGCAGATCTAAAACAAACACCGACTTTGAACTAGATTGAAAACGACCTGCAACTGCTAGGGATAGGATTGCTACATGGCATGCCCATCAATTACCTGTCTACACCAGCGATAGGGCACCCAGACTGGAGCCTAGACAATCAACAATGACGGAACATTGCAAGCTGGATAAACAAAAGTCGGAACATTGACAGACAACCAGTAATCATTGATGGAGGAACTTTAAAACCTTTATAACCACAGACAATGCCGTTTTACTGGAGACTAGACTAAATGTATCGTTTCGTAAGTGGAGCCTGCACTTAAACATTGCATCCGCACTTCAGACTTCAAAGCATGTCGGGGTGTGAATTAGGAGGGTACACACAAATTACTGGCTATTTACTGTCCGGCATATTTCGAAAGATCTTCTCTGGCGGTAATGTAATGCAACGTGACCGGGGTCTGGATACCAAGTAATGTAGTATGACGGGGTCTGGATACCAAGTAATGTAATATGACGGGGTCTTGATACCAAGTAATGTAATATGACGGGGGTCTGGATACCAGGTAATGTAATATGACGGGGTCTTGATACCAAGTAATGTAATATGACGGGGGTCTGGATACCAAGTAATGTAGTATGACGGGATCTTGATACCAAGTAATGTAATATGACGGGGGTCTGGATACCAAGTAATGCAATATGACGGGGGTCTGGATACCAAGTAATGTAGTATGACGGGATCTTGATACCAAGTAATGTAATATGACGGGGGTCTGGATACCAAGTAATGTAATATGACGGGGGTCTGGATACCAAGTAATGTAGTATGACGGGGTCTTGATACTAAGTAATGTAATATGACGGGGGTCTAGACACCAAGTAATGTAATATGACGGGGGTCTGGATACCAAGTAATGTAGTATGACGGGGGTCTGGATACCAAGTAATGTAATATGACGGGGTCTTGATACCAAGTAATGTAATATGACGGGGGTCTGGATACCAAGTAATGTAGTATGACGGGGTCTTGATACCAAGTAATGTAATATGACGGGGGTCTGGATACCAAGTAATGTAATATGACGGGGGTCTGGATACCAAGAAATGTAGTATGACGGGGTCTTGATACCAAGTAATGTAATATGACGGGGGTGTAGACACCAAGTAAGGTAATATGACGGGGGTCTTGATACCAAGTAATGTAGTATGACGGGGTCTGGATACCAAGTAATGTAATATGACGGGGGTCTGGATACCAAGTAATGTAGTATGACGGGGTCTTGATACCAAGTAATGTAATATGACGGGGGTCTAGACACCAAGTAATGTAATATGACGGGGGTCTAGACACCAAGTAATGTAATATGACGGGGGTCTAGACACCAAGTAATGTAATATGACGGGGGTCTAGACACCAAGTAATGTAATTTGACAAGGGTCTAGATACCAAGTAATGTAATATGACGGGGGTCTAGACACCAAATAATGTAATATGACGGGGGTCTAGACACCAAGTAATGTAATATGACGGGGGTCTGGACACCAAGTAATGTAATATAACGGGGGTCTGGACACCAAGTAATGTAATATAACGGGGGTCTAGACACCAAGTAATGTAATATGACGGGGGTCTAGACACCAAGTAATGTAATATGACGGGTGTCTAGACACCAAGTAATGTAATATGACGGGGGTCTAGACACCAAGTAATGTAATATGACGGGGGTCTAGACACTAAGTAATGTAATATGACGGGGGTCTAGACACTAAGTAATGTAATATGACGGGGGTCTAGACACTAAGTAATATAACATGACTAGTCTAGTCTAGTCATTAGGTTTTGTAAGATGACCGATGAACAGTCGAGCACTGATGGACTCAATGGCTAGATGTGCAGGGAGAATGGTTTGTAGGTAAACTCAGTAGAACCAGCAAACACCAGAAGTATGGCGGCTTGGCTGGGTTCAGATACAAGTACCGTGTGTCCTGGAACATAATCCTACCACACGTAGAACCCGGACCAACGACCTTGTTGGCAAATGTATTACTATGCAACGTGAGCAAAAAAGCACATGCCAATAAACTTTACTGAAAAAAAAAAAAAAGTTAAATGAAATCCACACAAACACGGTAAAAATAGACAGTAACATGAGCGGGCACAACTGAAACAATGGAGAGACAGGAATTAGTCATAAAGAACACGTGAAACAGCCTCTAGTTAACACAGCTGGGGATGATCCGCCAGAAACACGACATGGCCACATAATCAAGACACATCGACGGATCAGATTAGCTCCATTTGATGGCAATATCTGCAGCAGGGACGGCAGGGGATGTTTGTCACGTAATGGGAACAAGCAAGCGGATTGCCGGATTGGCCAAACATAGAGGATTTGTCAGCGCAGATTGGCTTCCATATTCCAGGCAAATGATGAGAAGAAATAAAGTGTGACAGTTCAGCATGTATCGAGAAATCTGGCTTGCAAGAGAGACAATAGATGGGCCAATTTTTTAAACATGTGTCGAGAAATCTGGCTTACAACAGAGACAATAGATGAGTCCAAGTCCAAGTAGTTTTGAGAAAAAAAAAATAAAAGCTCGACCACGTTCAGACGGCTGCTAGCTAGCCCAGGCTGCTAGCAGTCTCCGCCTATATTTGTGGTCTGGGTTATTTGCGTCACTTTCGCGACTGAATTTTAGTGTTTGTGCCATTTCTGGGCTTGATGCTTCCATCCGAATCAAACCGCTCGTCCTGTTGTCACTGGTGCATGTCTTCCTTCTTCTTTCTTGGTGTTTCCTGTTTGTTCTGTCTCCCTTTGATCTGGCTAGGCCTATCTCGTAGGAGAGCGAGCTTCCATACACAACGTCCTTTGGACCACCATTTATTGTTTTAACATTTTGAGTATTTTAATTTTGCCAAAAAGTACTGAAAACAGTTTTTGAATTTGAATTGTTCCGAAATGTAAAAATGTTTCGCGTGTGACCATAGTGGTCTTAGATGGGGCAATTTGTTAAAACATGTGTGGAGAAATCTGGCTTACAAGAGAAACAAAAGATAGGCATATTTTTTTAAAACATGTGTGGAGAAATCTGGCTTACAAGAGAGACAAAAGATAGGGATATTTTTTTAAAAACATGTGTTAAGAAATCTGGCTTACAAGAGAGACAAAAGATAGGCATATTTTGTTTAAACATGTGTGGAGAAATCTGGCTTACAAGAGAGACAAAAGATAGGGATTTTTTTTTTAAAACATGTGTTGAGAAATCTGGCTTACAAGAGAGACAAAAGATAGGCATATTTTTTTAAAACATGTGTGGAGAAATCTGGCTTACAAGAAAGACAATAGATGGGCCAATCGTTTAAACATGTGTCGAGAAATCTGGCTTACAACAGAGACAATAGATGGGCAATTTGTTAAAACATGTGTCGAGAAATCTGGCTTACAACAGAGACAATAGATGGGCAATTTGTTAAAACATGTGTCGAGAAATCTGGCCTACAACAGAGACAATAGATGGGGCCATTTTGAAACCGCCATCATTGTCTACATTTATTAAGTTCGCGCTGTGGGCGCATATCTGCTCATTCATATGAACCTACTGCAGGTTTTCTTCTTTAGCTTTCTTATCCATATAGATAAAAAACAAGAGTGCTGAGGTTAGTCAATTAGTTAGTCGTTACGGTTCCGGCATCACAGCAAACAAGCTTGGCCCATAACTGCTCAACCGCCTATGCCAGTGATTCCAGTCACAAACTGAGTCAGATACGCTGGATACTTCGAGTGAATGCCGTAGCCATACAAAGTGGCCTCAGTCAGCAAAACACACACGATTTGATCTGGCAAACCATAAGGTGCATGCCTCCTTAAACACACTGCGAGACCAGGTGTCACAGCTGAAAATCAACTTCATTCGACGAATAAGTGGGCGATGAGTAGATTAAAACTATTTCTGACCATTCTCCACATGTCCTCAGCCAAGTTGCAGCCACGGCCAGCAAATAAATAGCAGCTATAGCACACGCTTTGTCCCAGGAACACAAGGAAGAAAAATACATCACCTATCATTGCCATTATGTACGAATCTGGAACTCAGTCAATAACCGATAATCACAGCTCATAGTGCCGCCAGGAGCACTAAACTTAGTAGCTCCGGTTGCAAACCGGACTTCGAAACTGGGGGGAGAAAAGGCAACGAAAACGGTCAACATAAGCCGAGTTGTCAACCGTCAACCATTCCCTATCAATGTCGGAACCGGAAGTGACAGTATACATCCGTGTCGTACTCCCAGATGAAACTTGCAACCATTCAATAACAATGTGTAACAAACAAAAATGCCTTGTCGCACTTGTTACCATGGTGTAGACAATAGAATCCTGTCGAGGAAGAGGGTCAAGGGTCTTTTTTTACATAGGGGGGTCTGAGGTCCTTTCTACATCAGTGGAAGCTTTGGTCCTTTCTACATCAGTGGGATCTCGGGTCCTTTCTACATCAGTGGGATCTCGGGTCCTTTCAACATCAGTGGGGTCTCAGGTCCTTTTAACATCAGTGGGATCTCAGGTCCTTTCAACATCAGTGAGGTCTCGGGTCCTTTCAACATCAGTGGGGTCTCGGGTCCTTTTAACATCAGTGGGATCTCGGGTCCTTTCAACATCAGTGAGGTCTCGGGTCCTTTCAACATCAGTGGGGTCTCGGGTCCTTTCAACATCAATGGGGTCTCGGGTCCTTTCATCAGTGGGATCTCGGGTCCTTTCAACATCAGCGGGGTCTGGGGTCCTTTCGACATCAGTGGGGTCTGGGGTCCTTTCTACATCAGTGGGATCTCGGGTAATCTGCTGGACTAATATTGTGTAGACCAATTGGCCACCCGGTGGGTGATATTGTCAAAATCACGCCGGCTGCCTTTACGTCTCAGGATATGATCTGATATTCATTGTAGGCTATTGATCTGGGAGCCAAGGTCAATTCTGAAAGGAAAAGAATGTAGCAGAAGCAACTAGTTACCACCAGCTCAGCTGTTGCTAAGAACAGAGATCCTTTTCTGCAACCAGCATGCCCCTTTGACACCGAGTTGACGCAGGAGTTCCACTAGCAGCCAGCTAATCTATAACCTCTACAAACTTACCAGCCCCGTCTTAACGACTGACGGTAAAATCAACAACACCCTAGGTCAATCAAACAGAACCCCGACTAGGATCAGATTGTTGCACGCCCCAGGTATCACAGATCGATCCTAGATTGGTGGTCTCGCTTGGAAACCACAACAACAGAATACCTTGTTTGCCAAACAAACGGTTCAGATTATTGTTTAGCCAATCGAACGCGGGTTATGACAGACGGAAGTGGTACTTTGTTATACTTTTGGAGAGGAAAGGATTTTAAACCAGCAATTATTTTAGGCCACCTGTGCTTGTGAGGCGTGAGCCAAGACGTAAACGTGCCAGTTGGCAAGCCATACCTGCCTACATTTGTCCACAACACAAATGATAACGATGCGACTATGAACGATTAAACATAAATTAAAAATCAACTGTTTCAACAGGCAATTTCGAACACGACAGGCAGCCATCCAACTCAGGGAAGCAGTCTGCTCACTTTTGTAGCGGTCAGGATCTTCATTGCTAATAGGCGTATGGGTACTTTTGCTATGGCGTGGTCAATGTGTTCTTGAAGAAAAGATTACAATCAAACTTATTGCAAGATCTGTCATCAGGTTCGTTTTTATTTAGGCCTATTCAATGCTTACCACTACTGGTAAGTCTGGCCTGACTATATGTGTGTTCAGGGGGCAATCAACGAGCTGACAGACTTGCAAGGGATGCTTACGTAGGAAACGAACGAGCAATGCACAGGACTAAGTCTGCAACACTGAAGAGGCTACACAAACATAACATCAAAAGGGGTGAAGCCAGATAGAGCGATATACAGGGGAGCCTAAAAAAAGAATAGTAAACTAATGCAGAACTGGTGTCAGTCAATGCACGCTGAGGGAGATACTGAAGAGGGGATCTGAGCACTTATGGACTGAATAATTTGATGTGTGATTATGACAATATGTCGACTAACTAATTCAAGGAGAACCACGTTACTAAGGCCTTGGAACGGTTGAAATCTGCATTGGAATACACCAACCAGGAGGAGTTACGAGTTCCTTGTGTACTTCTGGCGGTTTCTTTCATGTCGATACGCCAAGATGTCATCAGCACATGACGAAGTGCTGACACTGCCATGCACTCCCATGCTTATAGAATTGGCGACAGCAGACAAACTTGAGGCAATCTTGGACAGATGGTTATCGGTTCTGAGTACCAACAACTACACCTGAGTATCACCCGTCTCTGGAACAGTGCTGATGCCAGCAACTAGATGATCAATGGAGCTATTTACAGATGGGCAAGTATGTGCACCAAGTATACAAATGGTACTCTGTTGTACGCATCCTCTAAGTCTAGTGCGGCTGCACATGTCTCTTCTCTCAAATGAAAAGCTTTATAGACTTCATGGGCGACAACTGCTGCACTGAGCCATGTCTCTTTGCTATGTGTGTCTCCTCCAAGTGTGGATCGGCCCCTGCCCCTCCTTTCCGGTACCATGCCTTCTGCTATAATTTTTTGCAATCCGTCGTGGCGCTTGACACGACCAAAATATTTCAGCTTCCGAGACAGGATGCTGTTTCTTAGCCAATCTTCCTTGATGTCCAGATCTCACCCTATGTCCTTCCCATCTTTTTAACTTCACTGTCTGGCACCGTTCTGGATATCTTTTATGGTCTACCTTTATTTTTACGCCCCTGTGGATTCCAACTATAGTTGTGCATTGACTATATATTATCATATAATTTTTGTTTCATTCCTATTTTTTGTCTGATTCCACAAATGATTGTTCTCTCACATCTGTGGAGTGCCTAACTTGTTTAGTCAAATCATATTCACGAACACACTACGTTTTTATCATCTTCTCTCCCTTTAACGGATGTAATTTCCATGAAGTTCTCACTCCAGTGAATCGCATTCATTTCGTTAGAAAGAATTCCTATTGACCGGTCAAATTCTCCGTGCCATTCTTCGCCGTTGACGGTTTTTCCAGTTTTCTTCCCACCCTGTCTCTGAACATGGCAACCATCGTGTCGTCTGCCTGAGTGATCTGTTGGCCGATTATTAAGCGCACATTCTTTGGGACAATCTCAATTCTAGAATGTTTTGTTTTTCTGATTGCTCTAGGGGGGCCAGGTTGCTAACTGTGTTGGGTGAATTGTCTGTCTTCAGTGTTTGAAAACTTCAAGCCGTAAGTTCTGGAATGAAGCCGTAGAAACAGCAAGAGTGTCGTTGTCAGCAACAAGAGAGGTTTCAGACAAACCGATAAATATTTCCTTTTTTATGTAGTTATACAGAGAGAGCCAGAGAGAAAGAGAGATAGATATGTCTGTGTATATATATAGACAGAGAGAGAGAAAGAGAGATAGGTATGTGTATATATATATATAGAGAGAGAAAGAGAGATAGGTATGTGTATATATATATATAGAGAGAGAGAAAGAGAGATAGGTATGTGTATATATATATATATATAGAGAGAGAGAGAAAGAGATAGAAAGATAGGTAGATATATATAAATAATATAAAGAGAGAGATAGAGAGGTAGAATATATATAGAATATGTAATATATATATATATATATATATATATATTTATATATATATAAATATGTATAAATATAAATATATATATATAAAGAGAGAGAGAGACTTAGAGATATGTATATATATATATATTTATAAAAAGAGAAAGAGCGAGAGAGATGAGCCTGAGGGACACTAGCTACATGAAAGCCTGCAAGAAGCCGTTCGTGACATAAGGGTGGGTTGGACAAAAAGAGGGGAGAGGGGTTGGATAAAGTTTCGTTAGCAAAACATGAGATAAGCAGCAGACAACATATGTCTATGTTGAGAGACATAGTCAACAAAAATACAGCCCATCAAGATCCACTGTTGTATTTGACGAAACGACGAGAGCATGTCTGCTTTAGGGATGTTACCCTCTCAGATGTAATCCTCCAGGGACAGACAGGGGTAATCCTTTATGGGACAGTCAGCGGTAATCCTTCAAGGGAAAGTCAGAGGTAATCCATCAAGAGACAGTCAGAGGTAATCCTTCAAGGGACAGTCAAAGATAATCCTTCCAGTGACAGACAGGGGTAATCCTTCAAGGGGCAGTCAAAGGTAATCCTTCAAGGGAAAGTCAGAGGTAATCCATCAAGAGACAGTCAGAGGTAATTCTTCAAGTGACAGAAGTAATCCTTCAAGTGACAATCAGAGGTAATCCTTCAAGGGGCAGTCAGCGGTAATCCTTCAAGGGAAAGTCAGAGGTAATCCATCAAGGGACAGTCAGAGGTAATCCATCAAGGGACAGTCAGAGGTAATCCTTCAAGTGACAGTCAGAGGTAATCCGTCAAGGGACAGTGAGAGGTAATCCGTCAAGGGACAGTCAGAGGTAATCCTCCAAGGGACAGTCAGAGGTAATCCGTCAAGGGACAGTCAGAGGTAATCCGTCAAGGGACAGTCAGAGGTAATCCGTCAAGGGACAGTCAGAGGTAATCCTTCAAGGGACAGTCAGAGGTAATCCTTCAAGGGACAGTCAGAGGTAATTCGTCAAGGGACAGTCAGATGTAATCCTTCAAGGGACAGTCAGAGGTAATCCGTCAAGGGACAGTCAGAAGTAATCCTTCAAGGGACAGAGGTAATCCATCAAGGGACAGTCAGAGGTAATCCGTCAAGGGACAGTCAGAGGTAATCCGTCAAAGGGGCAGTCAGAGGTAATCCTTCAAGGGACAGTCAGAGGTAATTCGTCAAGGGACAGTCAGATGTAATCCTTCAAGGGACAGTCAGAGGTAATCCGTCAAGGGACAGTCAGAAGTAATCCTTCAAGGGACAGAGGTAATCCATCAAGGGACAGTCAGAGGTAATCCGTCAAGGGACAGTCAGAGGTAATCCGTCAAAGGGGCAGTCAGAGGTAATCCTTCAAGGGACAGTCCGAGGTAATTCGTCAAGGGACAGTCAGATGTAATCCTTCAAGGGACAGTCAGAGGTAATCCGTCAAGGGACAGTCAGAGGTAATCCGTCAAGAAACAGTCAGAGGTAATCCGTCAAGAAACAGTCAGAGGTAATCCGTCAAGAAACAGTCAGAGGTAATTCGTCAAGAAACAGTCAGAGGTAATCCGTCAAGAAACAGTCAGAGGTAATCCGTCAAGAAACAGTCAGAGGTAATCCGTCAAGAAACAGTCAGAGGTAATCCGTCAAGAAAGAGTCAGAGGTAATCCGTCAAGAAACAGTCAGAGGTAATCCGTCAAGAAACAGTCAGAGGTAATCCGTCAAGAAACAGTCAGAGGTAATCCGTCAAGAAACAGTCAGAGGTAATTCGTCAAGAAACAGTCAGAGGTAATTCGTCAAGAAACAGTCAGAGGTAATCCGTCAAGAAACAGTCAGAGATAATTCGTCAAGAAACAGTCAGAGGTAATTCGTCAAGAAACAGTCAGAGGTAATCCGTCAAGAAACAGTCAGAGGTAATCCGTCAAGAAACAGTCAGAGGTAATCCGTCAAGAAACAGTCAGAGGTAATTCGTCAAGAAACAGTCAGAGGTAATCCGTCAGGGACAGTTGACGGCAAATGAGGACAAGGAAGCTGGATGTTGGTTTAAACAAGACATTTGTGATGTAGAGGTCACAGGGCTGTTCAAGTTTGTAATTTGTGATGTGGAGGTCACAAGGCTGTTTAAGTTTGTAATTTGTGATGTGGAGGTCACAGGGCTGTTCAAGTTTGTAATTTGTGATGTGGAGGTCACAGGGCTGTTTAAGTTTGTAATTTGTGTAAGACCGTAAAATGTGTGAATGTTTATGTACGTATACTGCAAGACCGTAAAATGTGTGAATGTTTATGTACGTAGACTGTAAATCTGTAAAATGTGTGAATGTTTATGGACGTAGACGGTAAATCTGTAAAATGTGTGAATGTTTTTGTACGTATACTGTAAGACCGTAAAATGTGTGAATGTTTATGTACGTAGACTGTAAAACTGTAAAATGTGTAAATGTTTATGGACGTAGACTGCAAGACTGTTAAATGTATGAAAATAAATCTATGTAAACTGTTTGAATGTACATCTATGTAAAAGCATTGTATTAGGCTTTCGTAAAAGATATATACAGTTATAGTGATTTAAAATATATCACCGCAGAGCACTTACAAAAATTGGATATAAAGATAAGTTAACCAAAATATAGAAGGATAAAATGTAGGCCGTAAAGATAACGTTGTGTAACGAAATGGGTCACTCACTTGAGGGTGCGATGGCGTTCTGTCCCAGGTCACTGCTCACTGAGGCGCTGCTGCGGGGGATTCGGCCTGTGAACAGATGTAAATAATAGATGTCACGCTGTCTGTCTCAGAGCCATATTGTGTGAGGGGTCCGGTTCCTTTCTACGGGTGTGTTTACAAGTGTTTCCTCTCGGACCTGGTCTGATGGTACAGTGTACGTGTCTTAAAACAAGCTTCTTCAACGGGACGGTTTCACTGTTTAGTTAATGTCTGCATTAGTTTTCCACTAGAGAACACATGTTTGATTTAATTCTGAAAGTCTGGCAACACTGTTTCTTGTGACTAGCACTTTAAAACAAGATGGCGATTCGTAATACATGTTTACCATAGCTGGAGTTAACTGTTACAAAATATAGGCTTTAAATACTAGGTAGGGAGGAAACAAGAGGAGGGGGGGGGGCGGAGGGAGGGGGGAGAGTTGTAACAGGTGTTTTATAATGTTGGGATGGTGTCATCCAAAGATAGACATTAAAATACAAGTGATTCAGTTGTTCTGGACAGAGGACTGACCAGGCATTGTCAGCTACATGTTGCGGACACAGAACACTGTGGTCTATGAGAACAGAGATAGAGATAGTCAATGTATCGTTTCAAGAGACACTGGAGACCCAAAGTTCAGTAATTAGCACTGTGTCTCACTCTTTCTATGCATCAGAAGGTCCAAAGTGGAAGGATAAAGCCTGTATGGTTAAACTATATAAGTGTCTCATGTCATCAGACTTCTGCTGGGGGTCAGAGGTTACGAGAAAGCTGTACTAGTGGCCTCACTGGAGCTAAACTGGGAACCATGAAGGGCACCTCTGGGACCTCTGATTAAAGATTACAGGGTAGCCCAAAAGATTCATCAATCAACAGACTAAGCAGCGGGCAGTATAAGTCACTTGATACAAACACACAAACACACACACACACACACACACACACACACACACAGATCATGTGGTCAGAGAGAGAGAGAGAAAGAATGAGACATGCGGTCAAACACACACACACACAGAAAGAGGCATGCGGTCAAACACACACACACACAGAAAGAGAGAGAGAGAGAAAGAGAGAGAGAGAGAGAGAGAGAGAGAAAGAATGAGACATGCGGTCAAACACACACACACAGAGAAAGAGGCATGCGGTCAAACACACACACACACAGAGAAAGAGAGAGAGAGAGAGAGAGAGAGAGAGAAAGAGAGAGAGAGAGAGGAGAGAGAAACAGGAAAAAACACAGAGACGTTCACAATCAATGACGATCTATAACAATTGCCTGACTTGCTGGACCATGGTAAGTATAAAAGTGTTATGATATCAACGATGTAGATAATAATTAATCAATCTACCAACCTGTCTGTCTTTCATTTGTCAACTGTATTTACATAATAATACCACAAACTGTGGACTATTATCAAAAGTATGGGGTTTACAGAGCATTTAGTGCACTTAATTGAACAACAAGCAGCCATCACAGCAGCTGGTGAAACATCTGACTGGTTCGAGGTGTATTTATCAAAAGTGTGTGAGGCACAACTGTATTTACATCATAATACCACCAACCTGGTCTGTCATGCATTCTCTAACCATTCCTATTCAATGTATACGTAGAAAATATAATGAGAAATGTCAAAAATGACCAGATTTATGACAGTTATAATCCGCTCAAAATTTGTGGCAAGCCTATTCGGGAACTCGACAGTCCTCCTTTCGAACAGCGTAAAGGGAATAGAAAATTTAATATTGTCTGCCCAAAAGCACAGTGAAGATCAAAATCTGTTCTTCAATTTAAAGAAAACGAAAATAATGTCCACAGATAAAACTGGCTGTCACCCAAAAATAACATTAAATGATGATGAAATTGAAAATGTCACAAACTTTAAATAACTAGGCTCTATAATAAACAACAATGGAGACTGTTCAACAGAAATTAAAAGGAGGATGGCCATAGCAATGCCAAGATTGAACAGCCTTAAAGGTCTATGGTTAAGCACCAGCAAGGAGATAAAAATTAGAATTTTGAGAGCATACATCTTCCCTATGGCTACATACGGATGTGATTCGTGGACATTCTCTCAGTCCTTAAGAAAGAAAATAGGGGCTTTTGAGCTTAAATTCTATAGAAAGATTCTTAGAATATCTTGGACAAAGAAGATGAGAAATACTGACATCTTAAAAGATCTGAACATCAAGGAAGATTGGCTAATAAACAGCATCCTTTCTCGAAAGCTGAAATATTTTGGTCATATCAAGTGCCACGACGAATCGGAAAAAATATTATAGCAGAAAGCGTGGTACCAGGAAGGAGGGGCAGGGGCCGACCGACACGAAGATGGGCACAGGATATAAGTGACTCCTTGAGTGTGAAAGTATATGAGTTGGGAGAACTGGCAAGAGACCGAGTTTCTTTCAGGCAGACTGTGATGAGAGCGACGTTCTGCAAAGGACCTGCTACATGATGATGATTTACATAATAGTTCTTGCCTGAAGCTAGTCCAGCTGTTTAGCAACTTTCTTCCTGTTAGTTTCTCCAGCTGTTTAGCAACTTTCTTACCTTAGGTTTCTCTAGATGTTTAGCAACTATCTTGCCTTTAGGATAGGTTAAACCCCTAAATCGAATTTGATTAAATCTTTTGGAAACAATGTTTTCTGTAGGTACATATTAGTTAAATATTATAGGAAAATTAATTGTGGGGCCTAAAATCAACATATTTTTACCGATATTGATACAAAATGTCAAATTTTAATCGAAAAATTGCCAAATTGATACTCAAAATTTGCTAATGAATTTTAAAAACTAATAAAGATGGCTTAATGACAATTTGCACATATATTTAAATTATATTTCAAACTTATTGTACTAAATACTATTCACTTAAAGCAACTGTGTAAAAGTTATATTCAGTCATGTGGTACGATAATCCCCCCCCCTTCCCCCCCCCCCCCCGAAAATTAGGGAGAAGGGTTCCCACATATGATAAAAATGCAAACTACATTCAGGCTGTTGTATTAATATGTTAGTTCGGTCAGATTCATTGATCATTTCCGATGTGTGTGCCAAGTATGAAGACAATATGTTAGTAACTTTTTGAGTTATTATGTGCAATGTGGTGGGGAAAAAATCAGAAAAGGGGATTTTGAGAAAATCACTAAAAAGTAACCAACCAAGCTGGTTTTTACAATAATCTTTGACCTAATGAGTCCCTGCTGCATGTGGGTCATCCTCAGGGTATTCCTCAGCTGTCTGAATACTTTACCTTGCTCTTTTTGCCCTTCTTATCCAATTATAACCTTTTTTAGCAGCTCTTTCACGTGCCTGATCAAATGTACAAAATGTGGAAACAGTGTGCCCCAGCTTAGCCCTGACTGGTTCTCTTTCATTATATGTAATAACAGCATCATTGACAGTTATTTCTAGCCTATGTCTTCCAACATGGATTACATAATTAGGCTATCCCAGTTATTATATAATTTATAACAAATGGGCGAAGTAATGATAAAAAAGGGTTAATAAATAACTAAGTTTTGACAGTTGGAATATTTTGCCTAAATAATTAAGTAAATAAACAGTTACCATGCAAGTTTAAAAAATTAATTACAATTACTTTGAGGTTGAATTTTGCAACAAGACATGCATTATTATGTGCAGAAATTAACACATCTCCATGTAGTGTCAACAAAATACAACTCTACAATTTTCAACACATAGTTTCGATAGTTTAACCTGTCCTGTAGTTAGTCTAGCTGTTTAGCAACTTTCTTGCCTTTACTTTGTCCAACGATTTTTAGCAACTTTCTTGCCTTTAGTTCGTCCAACTGTCTTTAGTTCGTCCAACTGTTTAGCAACTTTCTTGCCTTTAGCTAGTCCAACTGTTTAGCAACTGTATTGCCTTTAAGTGATCTAGCCGTGTCCATCGGTGGAGCTTTTAAAACACTCGTTTGACACTGACTTGGTTGAGGTTACTTGATGATCAAACAGGCGCGTGAAGGATCAAGTGCAACAGAGCAGACCCAGCATCCACACCTTGAGAGACTAATCCCGCCGTCAGCAAACTGAAGATCTGGATGGTTTTCAGCTCGCAGGAGAAAGGACCTGTGAACTTTTAATCAGGGCTCAGCTTGCAGCATCAGTATGGGAACTTCACGCTGTTGTTCTTGTCAAGAGGTGTTGAACAGTTAAGGGATGTCCTGAGAGCAAGGGCGTCAAATTCTTTATCGATTCTTTCATTCACTTATTTGATCTAACTGTGCAAACAACAGTCCTCCACCAGCTAATAAAGCGAGCGATATAACAAAATAATTGTGTGATTAGGCCGAGCCTTGTCCGTGATATTCTTGCATTTGAATGAGCTGTGTGTGATAAATTGACTTCTGTTAACAGTAACACAGAAGTGTCCCCGTAGCTGACAGCTGCTGTAATGCTGCAACACCACTATGCCGCCTAGCTGGATGATCCAAAGTGCATATGTCCATCCTTTGTCAGACAGACACAAAATATTGTTGTTATACTACTACTACTACTACTACTACTACTACTACTACTACTACTACTACTACTACTACTACTACTACTACTACTACTACTACTACTACTACTACTACTACTACTACTACTGCTACTACTACTACTACTACTACTACTACTACTACTATTAGTACTACTACTACTACTACTACTCTACTACTACTACTACTACTACTACTACTACTACTACTACTACTACTACTACTACTACTACTACTACTACTACTACTACTACTACTAACTACTACTAGTACTCTACTACTACTACTACTACTACTACTACTACTACTACTACTACTACTACTACTACTACTACTACTACTACTACTACTACTACTATAATTAACAGTTTTTATATAATATTATTAACTATCATAATTATTATTTTAGTTAGTGCTGTCGTCAGCATCATCATTATCATTATAAATACACGAAAAATACAACAGAGAAACTAAGTCATCGGTCATTTAGGAAAGAAAAAACAAAAAAAGAATGGCAGCAACATTGTGACTAGAATATAAAGTGGCAATCATAGATTTGACTCTGCACATGACAGACACAAAATGTGACGGATGTGGCCAGAAATAGAACTAACAACCACAAGACTTTAACTAAGTACCTGGGGCCACCAGAACAAACTGTACTTATAACAACAATGACCAAATCAATTAAAAATGTAACAAAATCACTGACAACTATGACCAGAGACCGCGCGTACAACGTGACCAACAGAACAAGCAGTGAGTGCGGTCTTTATCAGAGATCATATGTGCAGGATTAGAAAAATGGAAAAGTACAGTAATAAGCGACAATAAGACATTTTGCAGAACAAACACGCCGCATCATTATAACAAAACAGTTAGTCGCATCTGTTATATGCAGACACGTTCACAGGATAAGAGAGTCAGACAAAGCCAGTATCAAGTAGAGAGTTGCAGACAGCCAACAAAGAATTCAGCAGCGATCATATTCCTAAGTCTGATAGACAGAAAGTAAACCACCCTTTTTCCACGGCTTCAGGCGTATTGAACCTCAATTCTAGAGCTCCACGTCCAGTTTTTCTAAAAGACAGATCTGAGTATACAACAGGGCTTTTGATTGTCACAAATTTTAAGGCATCCGAAGGTTGCAGTGCAACAAAACAAGCGAACAACAACAACATAAGACGACGCAAACGCCAGGAATACTTACTAGTTTTTAACCGCTTGGCAAACACGTGGAAGAAATCCGGATCTGAAGAGTCCAAAAAGTAGAGCTCTCCCAGGGATTCTGGGATCTCGCAATCCTCTAGTAGAACTCCCATGATCCTCTGGTTGTGCAGGCTCATCTTGGTCAGCTGCTTCAGAGTCTTCTCGAAGGACGACCAGACGTCCTCCACGTACTTCTTGCTGAGCACCAGAACCACCCTCTCACTCAACATGGCTGCACACAGAATCCGCTGCTGAAGAGTGGCTGGGTCGGCTTCGTCTTGGAGAGAAGCATAAGCACATGTATAGTTGAAAGGCGGAGCTTCGAGGTGAGCGACAATGTGTTCCACCCAATCCCTGTCTTCGGGACAATGGGAGAAGAACACGTGATATCTGTAGAGGTCTTGTATTGGTGGCGCCGACATGGTATCCTGATTCTGCAACAGCAACTGTGTGTCCTGCAGGGACAGAAGTCTCATTTCTTCCGCGTCGCTGGACAACCCGTCGCTGTAGTCGGAATGATGGAAGTGTTGCTGCTGCCCGAGGTTGTTGTAGCCTGTGGAATCTGAACATCTCCCGTGACACGCGTCCTTCGTGTAGTGGTTGTTATTCTGGTAGTAGTTGGTATAATCATTGACTTGGTGCTGGTCGTCATGCGCTTGCTCAAACGTGGGACTCTCGCAAGAGAAAGGTATCAGCGACTGTTGGGAGTTTGAAATACAGATGGTCACTTTTGGATATCCGCCGTCGGGTTGTGTCTGGACTTTGTTTGAGCTCGAGTGGTCATCCCTGGCACAGTTCTGATTGAGGTCTCTGCCACTTGGAACGTTGAGGAACAAGGAATCGAATTCGTGATCTGGTTGGTTGGAGGTCACGTGTGTTGGATTGGGCGAATGAGGCGAAGGCAGAGGATTGTAAGAATATGGGCCATTTACTATAGGAACGAAGTGGCTCGAAGAGTCGTTGAGTAGACTTTCATGTGTAGAGAAAGGATACATTCCAGGACCACCATTAGCCATGTCACGGGCTGTGGTGTCCGTGGGTTGCGATACATCACTGTTATATGCAAGCTGACAGAAAGCGTCATCAAGAGGTAAGTCCGGTTCGCCACGAATACAAGATGGCCGTTTAGAGCCGAGGGACTGTGGCGTGACCTCAAGAGGCAGCTCGATATTTCTGTTGGCAGCTCCATCAGAGATCTCGTCGAACGTCAGTCGAAACCGGTTGCCAGCCACGTTTGACAGGCCAAGGTTCTTCATCTTCATCCTCACGGACGGGCTGGATGGTAGGGACGAATGCAAGTCACATTCTGTGTTGTCAGCCGCGCCTTCTTTTGGCACGGATTCCCCGACGCCGCCGCCACCAACGTCCATCCCCACAGTTTGACCAGTGGCCAGAGTATTTAGTGAATGTCCGGTAGTTGATGGCGGCTGTGACGATTTGACCGGGACACGAGAGAAAGAACAGGTGCTCAGTCGTCGAAGGTTTGGGCTAACTTCCCATGGGTCGGAAATCTTCAGCGAGGGGACAGTCTCACAGTGCAGGTCGTTGTTGTCACCAAAGTACATCTCTGAAACAAGTGAGCAGAAAAAACACGTCTTAGACAAACATGTCTCAGAAAAATATGTCTCAGACAAACACATCTCAGACAAACACGTCTTAAACAAACACGTCTCAGACAAACACGTCTCATACAAACACGTCTCGGACAAACACGTCTTAAGCAAACACGTCTCAGACAAACACGTTTCATACAAACACGTCTCAGACAAACACGTCTTAAACAAACACGTCTCAGACAAACACGTTTCATACAAACACGTCTCGGACAAACACGTCTTAAACAAACAAGTCTCAGACAAACACGTCTCATACAAACACGTCTCGGACAAACACGTCTTAAACAAACACGTCTCAGACAAACTCGTTTCATACAAACACGTCTCAGACAAACACGTCCTAGATAAACACGTCTCAGACAAACAAGTCACAGACACACACGTCTCAGACAAACACGTCTCAGACAAACACGTGTAGGAAAGTGAATCAACCGTGCTAGCAGACGAGTCGTCTGTGATTAGTGAAATAAATCAGTAAGATGAGTGATAGACGAAAAGAAGACATAAGCAACAGAAAGAAATAGAGAAAATGAAAGAACTAAGAAGAGAACCATGAAAGAAAGAAGTAGAGTTTGAAACAGAGATACATGAAAGAAAGAAGTAGAGATAAGTGACAGAAAAAGTTACAGATAAATTAAATAAATAAGTTAAGATAATTCCAGAAACTAAGAGTCTGCATACAAATACGCTAGATCTGTGGAATATTTGTGCAACCAAAACTCAAGTTCTGAAACAAAACTAAAGTCTAGAAGTGTACGAAGAACTAGAATTTTCCGTCACAGTTTATAGAAGGGGAAGTATAAGAAGAAGAAGAAGTATAAGAAGAAGAAGAAGTATAAGAAGAAGTATAAGAAGAAGTATAAGAAGAAGAAGAAGTATAAGAAGAAGAAGAAGTATAAGAAGAAGTATAAGAAGAAGAAGAAGTATAAGAAGAAGAAGAAGTATAAGAAGAAGAAGAAGTATAAGAAGAAGTATAAGAAGAAGAAGAAGTATAAGAAGAAGAAGAAGTATAAGAAGAAGAAGAAGTATAAGAAGAAGAAGAAGTATAAGAAGAAGTATAAGAAGAAGAAGAAGTATAAGAAGAAGTATAAGAAGAAGTATAAGAAGAAGTATAAGAAGAAGTATAAGAAGAAGTATAAGAAGAAGAAGAAGTATAAGAAGAAGTATAAGAAGAAGTATAAGAAGAAGAAGAAGTATAAGAAGAAGTATAAGAAAAAGTATAAGAAGAAGAAGAAGTATAAGAAGAAGTTATAAGAAAAAGTAGAAAAGAAGTAGGAAAGAAGAAAAGAGAGTAGGAAGAAGAAGAATAAGAAGAAGTTATAGAAGAAGAAGAAGTATAAGAAGAAGAAGTATAGAAGAAGAAGAAGTTAGAGAAGAAGTAAGAAAGAAGTAGAAGAAGAAGAAGAAGAATGAAGAAGAATAAAGATAAGAAGAAGTATAAGAAGAAGAAGAAGAGGTAAAGAAGAAGAAGAGAAGTAAGAAGAAGAAGAAGTATAGAAGAAGTAGAAGAGAGAAGAGTATAGAAGAAGTATAAGAAGAAGTATAGAAGAAGTATTAAGAAGAAGTAGAAAGAAGGAGATAAAAAGAAGAAGAGAAGAAGTATAAGAAGAAGTATAAGAAGAAGAGAGAAGAAGAAGTAGAAGAAGAAGTATAAGAAGAAGTAGTAAGAAGAAGAAGAAGTATAAAGAGAAGAAGAAGTATAAGAAGAAGTAAGAAGAAGAGTATAAGAAGAAGTATAAGAAGAGTAAGAAGAAGAAGAAGTATAAGAAGAAGTATAGAGAAGAAGTATAAGAAGAAGTAAGAAGAGAAGAAGAAGTAGTAAAAGAAGAAGAAGAAGAAGTAAGAAGAAGATAAGAGAAGTAGAAGAAGAAGTAGTAGAAGAAGAAGTATAGTAAAGAAGTATAAGAAAAGTATAAGAAGAAGTAGAAGGAAGATTAAGAAGTAAGAAGAAGTGATAGTAGAAGAAGTATAAGAAGAAGTATAAGAAAGAAGAATAAGAAGAAGTATAATAAGAAGAAGAAGTATAGAAGAAGAAGAAGAAGAAGAAGAAGAAGAAGAAAGAAAAGGTAAGAAGAAGAAGTAAGAGAAGAAGAAGAAGTATAGAAGAAGAAGAAGTAGAAGAAAGAGAGTATAAAGAAGTAATAAGAAGAAGTAGTAAGAAGAAGAAGTAAGAAGAAGAAGAAGTATAAGAAGAAGTATAAGAAGAAGAAGAAGTATAAGAAGAAGAAGAAGTATAAGAAGAAGTATAAGAAGAAGAAGAAGTATAAGAAGAAGTGTAAGAAGAAGAAAGAAGAAGAAGAAGAAGAAGAAGAAGAAGAAAGAAGAAGTAAGTAAGAAGAAGAAGTAGTAAAGAGAAGAAGAAGATAAGAAGAAGAAAGAAGTAAAGAAGAAGAAGGAAGAAGAAGTAGAAGAAGAAGAAGAAGAAGAAAGAAGAAGAAGAAGAAGAAGAAGAAGAAGAAGAGAAGAAGAAGAAGAAGAAGAAGAAGAAGAAGAAAGAAGAAGAAGAAGAAGAAGAAGAAGAAGAAGAAGAAGAAGAGTTAGAAGAGAAGAAGAAGAAGAAGAAGAAGAAGAAGAAGAAGAAGAAGAAGAAGAAGAAGAAGAAGAATGAAGAAGAAGAAGAAGAAAGAAGAAGAAGAGAAGAAGGAAGAAGATAAGAAGAAGAAGAAAGAAGAAGAAGAAGAAGAAGAAGAAGAAGAAGAAGAGAAGAAGTAAAGAAGAAGAAAGTATAAGAAGAAGAAGAAGAAGAAGAAGTATAAGAAGAAGAAGATAGAAGAAGAAGAAGAAGAAGAAGAAGAAGAAGAAGAAGAAGAAGAAGAAGAAGAAGAAGAAGAAGAAGAAAGAAGAAGAAGAAGAAGAAAGAAAGAAGAAGAAAGAAGAAGAAGAAGAAGTATAGAAGAAGAAGAAGAAGTATAAGAAGAAGAAGAAGAAGTAGAGAAGAAGAAGTAGAAGAAGAAGAAGAAGAAAGAAAGAAGAAGAAGAAGAGAAGAAGAAGAAGAAGAAGAAGAAGAAGAAGAAGAAGAAGAAGAAGAAGAAGAAGAAGAAGAAGTAATAAGAAGAAGAAGAAGAAGAAGTATAAAGAAGAAGAAGTATAAGAAGAAGAAAGAAGTAAGAAGAAGAAAAGTATAAGAAGAAGAAGAAGAAAGATAAGAAGAAGAATAAGAAGAAGAAGAAGAAGAAGAAGAAGAAGAGAAGAAGAAGAAGAAGAAGAAGAAGAAGAAGAAGAAGAGAGAAGAAGAAGAAGAAGAAGAAGAAGAAGAAGAAGAAGAAAATAAGAAGAAGAAGAATAGAAGAAGAAGAAGAAGAAGAAGAAGAAAAGAAGAAGAAGAATAAGAAGAAGAAGAAGAAGAAAGAAGAAGAAGAAGAAGAGAAGAAGGAAGAAGAAGAAGAAGAAGAAGAAGAAGAAGAAGAAGAAGAAGAAGAAGAAGAAAGAAGAAGAAGAAGAAGAAGAAGAAGAAGAAGAAGAAAGAAGTAAGAAGAGAAGAAGAAGAAGAAGAAGAAGAAGAAGAAGAAGAAGAAGAAGAAAGAAGAAGAAAGAAGAAGAAAAGAAGAAGAAGAAGAAGAAAGAAAAGAAAAAAGAAGAAGAAGAAGAAGAAGAAGAAGAAGAAGAAGAAGAAGAAGAAGAAGAAGAAGAAGAAGAAAGAGAAGAAAGAAGAAGAAAGAAGAAGAAGAAAAAAGAAGAAGAAGAAAGAAGAAAAAGAAGAAGAAGAAGAAGAAGAAGAAGAAGAAGAAGAAGAAGAAGAAAGAAAGAAGAAGAAGTGAAGAAGAAGAAAAAGAAGAAGAAAGAAGAAGAAGTTAGAAGAAGAAGAATAAGAAGAAGAATAAAGGAGAAGAAGAAGAAGAAGAAGAAGAAGAAGTATAAGAAGAAGTATAAGAAGAAGTATAAGAAGAAGTATAAAAAGAAGTATAAAAAGAAGAAAAAAGAAGAAGAAGTATAAAAAGAAGTATAAGAAGAAGAAAAAAGAAGAAGAAAAAGAAGAAGTCGACGAAAAAGGAGAAGGGGAAGACCAAACAAAATCATTCCTGTTCTTCCTTCCGGTTGTGGAACAGTCATCTCCGGTGTTCTCAGTGATGATGAAATCTGGAGGTTAACTCAATCCGGCTGCAGCCGTCTTCTCCCATTCTCCGTCCATTAAAGCACATTTGCTCCGGTAAAAACTCCAGAATACTTCACAATTTTCGCCTTAGCTTTCAAGAAATGCAAATATCAATATTTTAGCCCTTGCTTTCGAGAATGAAAGTCGCTTCTGTCATTATCAGAGCTGACATTTTCTAGTGCACCATTCTGCAGTTTAGACTGACTAGTTCACTAGGCTATGTGTTTGACTGAATAGTTCACTATGCTTTATGTTTGACTGATTAGTTCCCTGGGCTGCAAGTTATTCTGGCTAGTTCACTAGCTGACTAGTTCACTGTAACGTGGTTTACCAATCAGAATGCCAAAAAAGTAAGATCAAGTACACTTTACTTTCAACTAAAGCACAAATGGAATTCAATGAAATGGACCTTAATGCTACACAAATATAAAATAAATTGTCTTACAGTGTACAGAAATGGTGGGTAAAATGTAATCAACGTTGGGGGCCCCGCCAAGATATGGTGCCCAATGTACAAGGCGGTCTGTACTACAACGCACGGGCCAGCCACATTATTGTCAGTCTCTTTCTTTCTTTCTTTCTTTCTTTCTTTCTTTCTTTCTTTCTTTCTTTCTTTCTTTCTTTCTTTCTTTCTTTCTTTCTTTCTTTCTTTCTTTCTTTCTTTCTTTCTTTCTTTCTTTTTCTTTCTTTCTTTCTTTCTTTCTTTCTTTCTTTCTTTCTTTCTTTCTTTCTTCTTTCTTTCTTTCTTTCTTTCTTTCTTTCTTTCTTTCTTTCTTTCTTTTTCTTTCTTTTCTTTCTTTTCTTTCTTTCTTTTTTTCTTTCTTTCTTCTTCTTTCTTTTCTTTCTTTCTTTTTCTT